ATATAATAAATAAANAATATATATATATATACTATATATATATATATATATATATACATACATACAAACATATATAATATATATATATATACCTTAGCATGGGGGTGAGTGGCACTTTGTCCCCAGGTTATGGCATACTGCGCCCATCCGTCCATCTTAACGTACGTTGGCTCTGTAGTGTATGTCACAGGCGATACATACACACCGCTAGGATGCCTGAACTTACGAACACGGTGCTCTAGGCTACGCATGGTGTCACACACGCACTTGGCCAATTGTGGCAGTGGTCCGGGTGGGTTGGGGGGAAGCTGGTCTGTGGGAGGAGAGAGAAGCCATGGTGGAATGTGGTAGGTAAGCAGGCCTTTAATAAGACATGTGCACGTGGGCGTGGTATATTTGTATGTGTGTATGTATGTAAGTAACTGGTTGCACACACGTCCTGGCTGAGCAGGCGTGTGAGAGTGCACATGCGAACCACAGCTAAACCGCTCGGCTTAGCATGTGCACTGTAACCGTGTAGCCTGCGCCAGCAGCGCAGCCATTGAATGTGCAGCTAAGGTGAGTATGAGTATGTGGTACATGGTTGTTCGTAGGGCGGTGGAGTGAGTGAAACGAGTGGCCAGGTGAGTATTACGCTTCTCTCCTATTTGGGATAGTGTGTGATATTCAACTGACGCTTCTCTCCTATTTGGGCTAGTGTGTGATAATCTACTGTGCATAGTACAGACGATCCTCACAGGACTTTATCCGCTGGTATAGTTTGGTCTTTGTGTTAAGCACCCCTTTGATTGGACGGTATTCGCTTGTGTCGTTTAGTCCTTGTGTTGAAGACACCCTTGACTTCATAGTACCGTGATTGGCTTCTTTTTAGTTGTGTAAAGAGTGTTGGTGCCGCAATCTCTTTCAGCTGAGATTTACCCGCCTGCATTGATTTCTTTCTTTGTGCGTGGTTATCTCCGTCGCTACGAGTGCTTCTCTGTTGTGTGACCATGCATTCCTGTGCTTCTCTGTTATGTAAATATGCATGCCTGTGCTTCTCTGTTGTGTGACCATGCATGCCTGTGCTTCTCTGTTCTGTAACCATACATGCCTATGCTTCTCTGTTATGTGAATACGCATGCCTGTGCTTCTCTGTTCTGTGGCCATACATGCCTATGCCTCTCTCTTATGTAAATATGCATGCCTATGCTTCTCTGCTATGTAAATATACATGCCTGTGCTTCTCTGTTCTGTGACCATACATGCCTATGCTTCTCTCTTATGTAAATATGCATGCCTATGCTTCTCTGCTATGTAAATATACATGCCTGTGCTTCTCTGTTATGCAAATATGCATGCCTGTGCTTCTCTGTTGTGACCGTGCATGCCTATGCTTCTCTGTTTTGTAAATATGCATGCCCATGCTTCTCTGTGATGTAAATATGCATGCCTGTGCTTCTCGGTTATGTGAATATGCATGCCTGTGCTTCTCTGTTATGTGACCATGCATGCCTGTGCTTCTCGGTCTTGTGACTATGCATGCCTGTGCTTCTCTGTTATGTAAATATGCATGCCTGTGCTTCTCTGTTGTGACCATGCATGCATGTGCTTCTCTGTTACGTGGCCATGGATGCCTGTGCTTCTCTATTATGTAAATATGCATGCCTGTGCTTCTCTGTTATGTAAATATGCATGCCTGTGCTTCTCAGTTATGTAAATATACATGCCTGTGCTTCTCTGTTCTGTGACTATGCATGCCTGTGCTTCTCCGTTATGTATATATGCATGCCCATGCTTCTCTGCTATGTAAATATGCATGCCTGTGCTTCTCGGTTATGTGAATATGCATGCCTCTGCTCCTCTGCTATGTGAATATGCATTCCTGTGCTTCTCTGTTATGTGACCATACATGTCTGCGAAGTCGGGGTTAAATCACTATATGAACTGACTGTAAGCGTATTATATCCACAAGCATCGTCTACTGCGCACACGTACAACTGGAGGTGCGGTGAACATATCTAGTAGTGTGAACCACGTGACTATAGTATACTGCCTGACCTTACACAGTACATACTCTATGAAATGATCACTCCCTATACTATGATACAATACAAATTGTGGTGGTTCTCAAACTAGTGCGAGGCTTTGGGTGCCACCACATTTCCATAGTGATAGAGCTGTGACAAGGATTATAAGGGTATCATGCAAATGAATAGCCGGTGCATGGCCTCATATA